AGCTCTGAGACCTGAGGGGCGGGGCAAGGAGAGGAGTTGCAGAGGGAGCTCTGGGGAGCGATGACTAGAAAACCAGGGGGAGCCAGAAAAACTGCCCTAGGGCAGGGGCCACGGGTTTACGAGGTCTGTGTCCAGCCCTGGGACACCGCACACTAAACTCACCGTCAGCTCTTCCAATTTAAGGGTCTGAAGTTCCAGCTTGTGTGAAGGGGGTGAGGGACTGGAGTCTCCTGGTGAGGAGGGCTTCATCCTAGCAACCGGCGTGATGGGGTGAGGAAAGGGTTAGGACAGAGGGAGAAAGGTACTTAGGAACCCTAAAAACAGGGGCTCTGGAGGATGCAGGAAACTGAGGAATTCTGGACCTCCTGTGGAGCAAACAATAGGGCTGGGTTTATAGGTGGGAGATGGGAGCACACACAGCCGGGGTTCTCGGGAGGGGGTTCCGGGGCAGGCTCCTCTCCCTTGCATTCTGGGTTTGAGGACGAATGATAGGGCCTGAGTTTCTGGGTCCCTGGAGAATAAAAGTGAGAGTCCTACCGAGGGTGTGGACTCTGTGAATTTTTCTCTTCCCACAGAGGTGGCCCCGGGGGACCCAAGGTTGATCCTTCTGCTTGGAGATCTGCCCTAGGCCCTTGTCTCCCTTCTGGAGGCATGTACAGGTGATATGTCAAGTTCCCCCTGACCTTAGGCTCCTTCCAGTGCTGGGAATTCTTGGAAGATTCCTGAAAGAGCAAGTAAAAGACCAGGTTTGGTAGTCTGGTAGTCTCCACACCAGTCATTCCAGCACCAGGGAGGTCAGGGCAGGGCGGAGAGTTCTGGGCCAGTCTTGGCATATAATGAGCTTGTCTCAAAAACAAAGAGAAAAAACAGGAATGATCCACCTTCCTGGCCCATGAAATGTGTAGTGTCAGCTTGGCAACACCACAAAGACAGGGCAGTGGTTAGGAGAACCAAGGCTAGACTGTCTTGGGCTCTTGCCCTCTACTGTCAAAACTCACCTTCTTTGGAGACCGCCAAGGACAATATGCTGGCTCAGCGGACAGGATGCCAGGGCTGACAAGGAAAGAAGCAGGAACAGGGGGCAAAGCTGGAGCCAGAGCTGGGCCTGAGGCTGAGATCCACGGATCTGAATCAGAGGCTGAAAAGATAGTGGACCCTGAATAGACCAGCAGACAGCAGGCTAATTAGGACAGAGAGGGGCGATGGGGAAGGAGGGCCAGCCTGGAGCAAGAAGCATAGCCCAAGTTGTCCAGCTGGGCTCCTGGCGTCCTGGGTACCCAGATTTTAACATTTTCAAGAAAGGGAGTTTTGTCCTCAGTCAGCATGGGGTCTGTTTGCTTCGGATCACAGCTATCTAGTGTGTTCCTGGGACAGAATCAGGCAATGCCTGCACTCCTGATTCCAAGGAAATGGACAAGGCAAAAAACTGTATTCAGATAATTGAGTGTGGGAAAGGCTGGGAGAGCTCACAACACCAAGGCAAGATGAGGGCATCTGGC